ACATCATCATCATCACCATCATCAACATCACCATCTTCACCATCATCAACATCATCATCATGACACCATCATCAACATCATCATCATCACCATCATCAACATCATCACCATCATCACCATCAAAAACATCAACATCACCATCATCTACATCATCATCAACATCACCATCATCATCACCATCATCATCACCATCACCAACATCATCAGCATCAACATCATGAACTACATCATCATCACAATCATCACCATCATCACCATCATCACCACCATCATCAACGACATCATCATCATCATCATCAACATCATCATCATCATCATCACCATCATCAACATCATCATCAACGTCACCATCATCAACATCATCATCACCATCAACATCATCACCATCATCACCACAACCATTGCCATCATCAACACCATCATCATCACCATCATCATCGTCATCGCCATCATCAACATCATCATCATCATCAGCAGCATCATCATCATCATCAGCATCATCATCATCATCACCATCACCATCAACCTCATCATCAACATCATCATCACAATCATCACCATCATCACCATCATCATCATCACCATCACCAACATCATCATCATTATCAACATCATCATCATCACCATCATCAACATCATAATCATCATCACCATCATCAACATCACCATCATCACCATCATCAACATCATCATCATCACCATCATCAACATCATCATCATCACCATCATCACTTCAACTCATTTATGTCGTTGAAGGAAATGTGCATTACATCCATATCTTGATGGTTTGTTCATCCACAGCCAAAAGTTTAACTGTTTGCGGGATAGATGATAAATCCATCCAAACAATTCTACAGTAATCATCTAATCCACAAAAAGGCTCAAAAAAAAACGATGTAAATCAGTTGATACATATTAATCCTCAAAAATCCATGTATATCCTCAAAAAAAAAACTAAGTTAATCCACACACCTTTCCTACGTCGCTGAGTCAACCCCCATCCCGGATAGCCATGAGGCCCATGGCGGCACTGACCAGCTTGGCCATCTTGAGCCTCGAGGGCGTTCCTACTGGAAAAACTATGCACTGTGAACATATGCACTATACAAATACGTACATCTGTATATGGCATGGTATGGTATGGTATGATATGGCATGGCATGGCATGGCATGGTATGACATGGCATGGTATGGCAATGTATGTGTATATATATATATATATTGTGTGTGTGTCTGTGTGTATGTATATAAAATTACTATAGATAAAGATGCACAGAGTAGATTTCTGTGCCATTGTTTGTCTGTGTTGTGTCTGTGCTCCAAGTGGTCCTGAAAATCAACCAGGGTTTAGAAAAATCCAGGCTTGGCATTCCTAACCACTATATTGTTCACTACGGGTGAGTAACCATACGTTTTTGTTTACGGGTTTTAACCTACTATTGTAGTTAACTACTGGTTGATACGACTAGTTATCATTAGAGTACTAATATATTTGCCATTAGATGTATATAAACCATTGGTAATCATCTATTATGATTTTACAATGCTTTATATGGTACAGTACCTCTATTTTAGGATCCTGAAATTCCCATTGTTGTTATGCATATACTACCCGGTAGTATAGTAAGGTACCACTAGTACAGTGTATATCAATATCAATTCTAGTATTTTGTACCCCAACATGTTCCTTTTTTCAGCCAAAAAAAAAACGGCGCTGGGCTGTCAGACAGCTGCAAACCTCTAATCACCAGGTGGTTGTTCTCCATCACACCCATGTTGCCCTGATGCCGATGAATCCAATGGTGAAGTCACAAAAAAAACCACGACCAAAAAGGGACCAAAAAGGGACCCAGAAATGACCCATGACCCGACAAAAATGGATGAAACCTTGCAGCTATCCGAGCTATCCGTACAATCCTTGAGGTCCTATCCAATTCGATTCTTCAATCCAGAAGCCCCAAGAATTGATCCTCTGGCAATTTCATGCTAGTGAAAATGGATGAAAATGGCCCATTGACTTTGTTGATTTACCCTCTGGTTATGTCAAAATAGCTATTGAAAATGACCGTAGAAATAGTGGATTTTCCCATTGAAAATGGTGGATCTTTCCATAGTTTTTTGTTAACGTTTACCAGAGGGTGCCTATTCAAGATGGTGAAATTCCATTTCGCAACCTGTGGCATCCACTGCCATTCCCATCCGAGGTGCCCGGTGTTGCTCCAGGACTTGTGCAGCGAAGGGTTTTCCGATGCCCACGCCGTTGCTGCGGAACTTGGGGCTTCCATGCAGATTCATCTGCTCGTAGTAGATCCTGGCAGCGCTATGTCATCCTAAGGGTGGCATAAGATGTCATAGGTACAACATGGATCAACGTGCTATGAGCCCGTTAAAAACATCCTATAACTTTACCATGGTGAAATATATATACCTTGAACTGGAATTGCACCCCCAAATAAGCTGTTGCCAGCATTTTTCCATAGATCCAGTAAATGGGTGCAAGTCGACAAAGGTAGAGATTCAAAGAAGAGCTTGCCAGCATGGTGATGCTGCTGTCCATGTTTTTTTTCCGCAAGTCTACTCAAATGAAATGCAAATTCCCAGATTGTGCGTCAATTCATTCAGGATCATTCAGGTAACCCCGTGGTCAGCCGCACAAAGCCTCTTGATTGTCCTTGGGGTAAAGCTAGATCCCTGTGAATCTGCTAAAAGGATAGCGGATGACCGCACAGTCTGCACAGGCCGGGATGGCTGTTCGGTTTTTCGTGCAATGAAGGACCAGTTGAACTCGTTCAGTGCCTGCGAAACGGTTGGATCTCCCTCACTTTCACTGAAGCAAAGTGGTAAGAATAAGACGTTCAAAAGACCCAACAAAACAATACAAAATATTCATTAACAAAAACTGCAGGTATGATATATATATATACATATATATATATATATACATATATATACATACACATACACATACGTACATATATATATACATATGTCAACAAAAATCCACAAAATCCTGAAAAAAATCCAGCTCCCAACATCCAGCTCGCGCTTAACGAGATGTCTGGTGCTGCGCTCACACCTTCTCTTTGGCAACGGCTCCCATCCACCTGGTTCCAGCTGGGAAAATCATGCCGTTGTATGGAAAATCCACCATTTATAGATTATATATAGATATCTATATAGATATCTATAGATGATGTTATAAGAGTTATCAAGTTTGGAAAGAGGTTGAGTTTTTTCGACGAAGTTTACCAAAAACGAATTGAAGGATCAGAGTTTCTAGTGTCTAAAATGACTTCAGAACATGATCCATCCATGTGCCGCTATCCCAAGATCCAGTGGTTTAACCAACATTGGCACCACACAGCCTGGCATGCTCGAAATTCTCGCAAATCTTGCAGCAGCCCCAAGCCTTAGCGTCCAATCCCATGACATGGCAGCACAAAATTCCGCCCCTAAAAATGGCTAATGTTAGTAAAGCAATGTGGCAGTGTGTCAAAACCTTGTACCCCTGTAGTTCACATCAAAATAGCTGGGATTTATGGATGTTCATCCCCCTAAAAATGGTATTTTTATAGGTATTGACCCATAGCCATGTCACAAATCAACCGTGGATTGATGGTTTCACCTGGTGCTGAGCCGTGGGCGATGCTGCCGGGATTGGGATCCACTAGGTATCCTTCGCGGTCCGGTTTCACGAAATCCCGAGGTCCACCACAGGTCGTGGCAATCACCGGCTTGCTGGCAGCCCAGGCCTCCAAGTTTTAGCACCATGAAGTTCTAGCATAAGAAAGGGATAAAGATAAAGATATAAGTTATGACATAAGCATGTGACATTATTTGAGAGGGTATACCCTCCATTTGTAGATGTTTTTCCCATTTAAACCTCTATATATTTGCAGTGAATTTTCCATTGCCACCCTTGATTCCCAGAGGGTATTTTTGCAGCTCATGGGTGTCAAAAAAGAAAAGCATGGCATTTCTTTCCCAGCTGTGCTCTGTGGAGAAAGGACTGAATCATGGCACCCTCGCCTCCAACACGACAATACCAAAGGGTTCGTTTCGGCTTGGAACGATGACTGCATCACAGGATTTGAAGAGCGCCTGGAAAAGGAGTGGGCATTGAGATGTTACCGGACCTAAATTGGACGTACCTACCTTTTTTTTTGTACGCCCATCATGAAATTCCCAATCAGTGCAGGAAAAGAAGTGGCACAAGGTGGCAGGACTCTTGCTATGTTGTCCGCCCGTTTATGGCTAGCAACTAAGCCGCTACTAAGCCTCCCCAGAATTGGATGGGTAAATGACGAGAGTGAAAGCCCTCTGGGGGTTACAAAACTTGGGATTCCTAAACCAATCCTGAACATCCTGAACTAAAATTCATTGGCTATGGGTCAAAATTGGAGGACCTTAAAAAAATTGCAGGTTTTAAAAAGCCGAGATCTCACCAAAAACGGTTCCCTGGGTCAGATTTTTTGGGACCACGCCTTCAAGTGTGCGGTACCACTCTTGACCTTGGGCTAAAACAAAAGCGACAGAAACACTCGGAGCCAAGGCACCTGCAGTTGGATGAATAAGCAGCCCATGTGCTGCCCATAATATGTATATAGATATATGTTCTTAAAAAGGTGGATTGTGTATACATATATATATATATACTTATATATATACATGGAATAATATATATGTATACACACCTTGATATGCTTACGTATACATATATATATATACACACACCTTGATATTGCTATACTTTCTTCTACTCTGAACCCACAAAAAGAAAAAGCAAAAGCAAGGCATATCAGAGCATTTTCAGGTGCACAAGCGAGACGATTCTCAGGTGCACAAGCGAGTACCATGCCGCATATCAGCTGGGCATCCCAAACAGAGCCAGCAAAGTGCACGGCATGTCCAACTCCCAACCTCGCTTGGAGACGAAAAGCCAGCGAAAACGGTCACTCATCACAAGCATCTCATACTGATACATACATTCATGAATAAAACGTGGAACGTGTTTTTAATGCAGAAATATAGGATTATATAGGTGTGTCTGTTTGTCCGAAAATTGGGCGCCCCAACTCCCATTGGCTTTAAAACCTCAAATTCCCTATGAAAATCGCCCAAAAGAGACGATGGATCCCGTATTTTTGGAGGAAAAAAAACCATCCACCGCTGGGCAAAGCCGACTGATGCGCGCGCGCTTCAAGATGGGCCTTCATGTGTCCATCTCCCACCTGTAGGCATGAGAGGATGGAAAACAGAGATGTGGGATTTCATGCAAATTGTTCTGGCAAATCTTTGTTTATCAAAGAGGTAGTAACTAAAACTCTTCAAGTGTTCCTTGCTGTTGGTACCCTCTGGTAAACTAACATAGCTATTGAAAATGGCCCAGTCGAAATAGTGGATTTACCCATTAAAAATGGTGGATCTTTCCATAGCAAACTGTTTGTTTACCAGAGGGTCATTGCCCTTCAGCCCCCGCTGGGCGCCAGGCAATGACAAATTTCGCATTTCCTCGAGCCTGGAGAATCATTGGCACAGCCTGCGATCGCGGTCAATGGGTGGATGGAATGGGCTTTTCCCAACATCTTCAGAGAAACCCAAATCCCATCAAAATCCCATATGCTCACCTATTATCCATAATAATCCCTATTATCCCATATTATCCCCATTATCTCTATCATATTGTATATATATATATATATACATAGATATGGGGATGTGTCAAAACCCTGGTACCTAGTGAACCCCAAGTCATAGCTGGTAGTTCTGGATGTTCATCCCACTATAGTAATGTATCTATAGGTATTGACCCATACCCATATATGTACCCCCGTTTTGGGAGCGCCACTTCTATCCCACCAGACCGAGGCCCAGAGCCTCCAGGAGGAGATCGGGGCCTTTCTGTACCGCCAAACGTCCCACGAAGAGAAACATGGGATCCATGACGTCGAAGCCCTGGATCCGCAACAGGGATGGGATGGGATGGGATGGATATACATGTTTACATATAATATATATATATACAATATATATATATATGCATACCTATACATATCTATATCTGTATCTATCTATCTATCTATCTAATCTAATCTAATCTAATCTAATCTAATCTAATCTATCTATCTATCTATCTTTATACATACGTATCTATCTATCTATCTATCTATCCATCTATCTATCTATCTATCTATATGTGAATGTGCACATGTAAATATGTATAGATATAATATAAGACTGTAAGATTCGTTGCATGTTCAATGCATGTCTAATCTATACCGTCTATACCTGACTTTGCGCAGCGTTCCGAAATCATCCTAAATCATTCCGCGCCTTGTCGCGCTTGGTGTTTCCAGTCCACTCATCTTCCCATTCCATTTTGGCGATGGCATCAGCATGAATGCCTCAGTCCAAGGAACTCATCAAGCATAGTTGATATGCATCCATAGTTGATATATGTTGATATAACCATCAAACTATTCATAGTTGATATATGTTGATATATGTTGATATATGTTGATATATGTTGATATATGTTGATATATGTTGATATATGTTGATATATGTTGATATATGTTGATATATGTTGATATATGTTGATATGGGATGATATATGTTGATATTTACATCTTTTTTTGCCTTTCCATGAATCTTCATCCATCCCCATGCCATCTACCTACGAGTACCTGGCTGGTGGCTGCAACAACCACCTACTGGGCCCAAGACCATTGTAAATCACTTCGATCTTGGCACCATGCACCTGGTAGTGTGAGCACACCTCAGGCTGTGCGGTGTTTTTATCGGTGCTTTGATCGTTCAATCCCCATCTGATTGCGGATCTCAAAATAAGGATCTGGTAGTTAAACATAGTTAAACCATCTTCAACCCTGCTGAAATCCCTGGTTTTCTTGGTGAAATCTCTATATTTTTCTAGGTAAATCATCTTCAACCCTAATGATCCTGATGAAATCCATGTTAGAATCTCTATATTTTTCTAGGGCCCCTCATCCCTGACACAGCCTTCGAGGCTGGGGAGCCCGGCCTCTTCCTTCAAGACACCCGACACGGCAATGACCCGCTCGGCGGAGTGGCAGGCACGTCCTTCAATCTCACCTTGGATCCAGCACTGTCTTTTTCCATGGTGGGATATGATATGATATGATATGCCATGATATGATAAGTTGACATGATATGATATGATATGATATGATATGATCATCCGGCACTGGATATGATAAGTTGACTTCGATGCTGACCATCGTTTACGGATACCGTAAGCTACATACACTGCACCCAGATCAGTTGGGACATCTGGGTGAAAAGATCTGATTGAATGAGCGTTGACCCAAGTCAAATGTCAAGGGAAATGGGAGCAAACTGGAAATCCATGGTTCCTGGCAAAAATGCTAGTCAGGTTGTTGACTGGGCATCACACTCGCCCCGATTCTTTTTGGGAAAATGAATCTGTTCACTTCGAAGAACTAGGGTTACCCAGAAATGGGCGATGAGACCTTGTCAAATGAGCACTGGTAGAGCAGGCAACGTTGGAGACAGCCTTTCACTGCGAATCATCGATCGCAAGTGCAATATTTGGGGTGTCTCAAAATTTGGAACGGCAAAATAAAATGGTTTATTGTCTCAATTTCTGGCTACATTTGCCAAAAGCGTGGGGAAAAAAAGCCACCATTCTTTGACAAAAGCCATTTCAGGGGCATCCTCTGGTAATCAAACGGGGCTGGCTGGAAAATGCTTCCAGCTGCCGAGTGTCGGATTCGGGCGCTCTGACCACCATACTGGACCTTGGTGACCGGATGGTAATGAGTTACAGTACTTCACCAAGGCCACAACTCACAGCATCTGTAAAGTGTTCACAAGACTTTTGCCACAGGACTTTTTCGAAACTTGTTTGAAGCTTTTGGAGCTATTCAAAAACAAAAAAAAATGTGTTTCTTACTAACCATAATTCTCCCATAATTCTCCCATACTACCAAGTAATCAACTAGTCCACCTCCGAAAGAGCTCAGTTCCAGGCATTGCCACATCGTCCGGTCTCCGTGGAGTGCATGGTAAAGACCACCTGGATCGAATGCGCACCACCGTCGCTTCGCAAAACGTGCGTGTATGTATGTGTATATATATATTATAATATATGTAACTAATTAATTATATATATATAATGTATGTATGTACGTTGATCATTGTTGATCTATTGATCTATCTATCTACTGATCTACTTACATATTCAATGATTGCGTTTGATATTTCTTCTACATGTCAATCATGGGTCGACTTCGAGGCCGGGACTCGTTTGTTCATGCTGGCCAGCTGATTCACAGCAGGTCCCACCAGCCAGTCGTGGCCGTGAATCACATCAAAGCCACCTCCGCGACGTGGTGTCTGCAATGGCTCATGATGGCCATACCCTCTGCTAAACATACAAAAAGCTATTGAAAATGGCCAGTTATAGTGAGTTTTCCCATTAAAAATGGTGATTGTCCATAGTGTCATGTTAGTTTACCAGAGGGTAGTAATAAGCAATCATACTGTCAGTGGCTCACATCATGGCATCTTCAGGAACACAATGCTACTCCCAATGGAGACTCTGATGAAGTACTTCATGGTAAACGTTGAAGGCAAAACTGTTCCCTTGTGTCAGCTGAAGACTGTAGCGAACCTTGACCAAACCGGCTGTCCGAAACATCCCTCGACACATCGCACGTCACCTACTCTGCCCTCCACATGCAAGAAGTGCCCGACCTCACAGTTTTGATACGTGCAGGGTGCGAAGTTGCTACAACATCCAAACCCGTTCCAACCACTTCCCATGTAATTTACCCAAAACAGTACACCCTGATTTCCCCCATGAGACGCCCAACAAATTGGGGGGAGCATCCCATTTCTGGACCCATCTGGGACTGTCGAAGTATTCGAACCAAGTGACAAAGGAGCTGCACATGTTCTCAATTTCCCGCACGAAATCGCTGTCAGTACCAAAGTTCACCTGGCAGTCACAGTGCGGATGTTACTGACGTTTCTTGGGGTTCAAACAGTTCTTGGGTGAAAGCCCATAATGATCATAATGAGAATCACATCATACCCCGGTTGAAGTCATTGCAGGTCGAGTCAATGCAATCTGATCAATCTGCAGTTGTTTTCCTCCTCCAAGGCCAACTTGTCGCGCACCAAAACTGAAACAAACCCACCGGTGGCACCTCGTGGTAAATGACGCCCATGATCTCGTTCTCCCACGTCCGTGCTTGGGTGGAGCGTGTGAAGATGTGAACCGTATGACCTGAGTCAATATGGAGCTTGGAGGATAGATACTGGGTGGGGATGCGCGAGACCCATCGCTTCAAAAATTCTCTTGGGTTCACAGAATTGGATGACGGGAAAATTTACAGGAAACCCCTATATTTGATGGTAAAAACCATGGTTTCCTGTAGATTTTCCCTTAAACCAATCCATTGATGGGTGGATGAACATCCACAACTACCAGCGTCTACATCGTCTACCAGCTACATTTAAGCTCCATGTTGCAACGGTGAACGGAAATATTCAGGCTTTGGGTACCCAATTCGATGCCATTAGATGAGTCAGATCACTATATAAACACGATAGGATCACCAAAAATAACTCTGTCTAATCACGATATAATCACTAGTGTGACACTAGTACATTGACTCACTTTTATAATCAGATCACTATAAATCAGATCACTATAAATCAGATCACTACATATCACTATATATCACTATATAATCACTATAGAACCACTATAGAATCACTAGTCGTCTTGTTTTCCTCTGCAGATTTGCCCAGCGGCCAATCTTGTGAAGGGCGCCTGCCAGCTCCGTGACCTTTGCGATCGAAGCTCTCAAGGCATCCAACCCTGACCCGACCTGGTAAACTGTCCCAAAAAACGATGGAAAGATCCACCATTTCGAATGGGTAAATCATGGTAAATCCACTATTTCGACTGGGCCATGTTCAAGTTCGCAAACTTTTTTTGTTTACCAGAGGCTAAATTTCGTTGAACATGTTGGATCAAATGGCTACAAGAAAAAAAAAATCACACGTTTTTCAGGCCTGAGATCCCACTTTTTCCAATGGTTCACAACCCAAGGTCGATTTTCACTGAAATATCCTGGCATCCAAGAAACGTGAGGTGCCACACCGCCAGCCGCGATCGTGTGCAGGGTCTCCCACCTGTCGGCATCGGGCGATAAGCCCAACAAAAAGCTGGAAAAAAACTGGAATGATGAAGAATTATCCCATATTGTACCATGAAAAACTGGAATTATGGTGGTTTAATCAGTATAATCCACCAAAAAATTGAATTTGACATATCAAAATTGCTGGGTAACCCACGAAGGGTGTTGAATGGGGAAAAGAACAGCGACAAATGGCGATATCAACCAACATGCATTGGATATTAAGCAACACATTTCAAAAAAAATGAAACTATTTGCCGATTGGGATTATCATCCCCTTTTTTCCGATGGAATAAAACAATATTTGGAATCAGCAACCACAAAAACAAAAAACATATTTACCGTAATATGTTTAACTGAAACATAAGAATAAAACAAGTAAATATATAGATACTTAGATAAATGATGATAAATAGATACTGAATAATACGTCTTATTCATTATCATCGTCGTCGTCAACATCATCATCGTCGTCGTCGTCATCGTCATCGTCATCCTCATCCTCATCCTCCTCCTCCTCCTCCTCATCATCATCATCATCGTCGTCATCATCATCAGTGCTGATCCTGGTCCCATTCAAACATCAACATCCATCCCTCTAAATGATGGGTGGTGAAACGTCCCATTCAAACATCAATCACTGAGGAACTCATCGTCTCAACCAACTCAATGCACTGAGCTTCTTACGAGAGCATGGCAATCTTCAAGGGCCGACGAGCCAGAATCTGGCCGGGCTGAGATCTTGGATGAAACTTGAGGCTGGTTCGCTACGAAAAATCACCACAATCAGTGGTTTCGGAGGGAATTGAATTTTGAACCCCATCCAGGTTTCCAATGAGTTTTATAGTCTGGTAAACTCAAAAAGAAACTGTACCACCACCTCGTTTCTGGTAAATTTGGGATAGTTTATTAATTACACCGGGTCGAGAATAGATGGCGCAGACCACATTTCCCGGCCAGTGGGTAGATGGTACCGAGAATGTGGAAACCGGGCACACAAAACTCACTGATGGGGGTTGAGTAATCTACATCAGCGTTTTCTCGTTTCAACTCAATTTTCGGTGCCTTGGGTTTACCAGTTTACTACATTCCCACCATCAGAATTCCCATGTCGTTGGTTCTACCTCCTGTAATTCATGGGTAATATCCCCCATCAATCTTGCTTATATCCCATTCACTAGCAATGATGATCAACCAACCGTCTCTTTAGCGACTTATATGTGGAAAGCGACTTGACCCCCCCAACAATAGATAGTTAAGATTCGCCCTTTTATTATAAACGTGGTTGTTGGTTGTCAATAAACCCAAAACATAAACCTAACTATTGTTGGGTCAGTAGGAACTGATTGTGAATGAAATCTCTCCCATTATAGCACCAATATTGATATTATATATATATACATATACATAAAGTTTATAAAATTATCAATACATCCACATGTGTTCCACATGTTTTCCATATGAATTGCATATGATTTCGTTGAAACCAACACAGAAATCGCCAAGGCACGCAGTGTTCCGCCGACTCCATGTAGCCCAGGATGCAGTCCTTCGGTCGATACGTCTTGGCCTCGGTTTTTGGGGTGAAGCCATGGCGAAGCCGCTGGGGTCATTACTATGATCAATGGATTGGTTTAAGGGACAATTTACTGGTTTAAGCCCCATGATCTTCATGGGAAAATAACTCTGGTTTCCGGTTAAGATTTTCCCGTGAAAACCAATCCATTGATATGAGGGAATATCATCTCCTAGTTATGACAAAAATATGTGGTAATAGTACTATAACTTACCTAGTGGTATAGTTTTTTTTAGTATTACTATGTGGTAATAGTACGATAATACTGATAAACACATATTACTGTACAAAAACCTTAGTTCATCTATGTTTATTATTAGTGGGTTATAATTTCCTATTGTTAATCCATATATTATGGATTATGGTGGGTTATAACTATTATTATAATAAGTGGGTTATAATTATTGTAAGTGGGTTATAAATTCCTATGGTTGATCCATAATTTATATAATCTACTATAAGTAGATCCAACCAATGATTGTATAACCCCAATGATGGTATAACCCCAATATACATTTACGTATATATATATAACATAAGTGATCCAACCAATCATTTATTGGTGAATAACCTACTATAAGTAGATCCAACCATATATATATATATATTACTGGGGTTATAACATGTTATAACTTACTATGGATACATGGTTAAACCATATATTTATGATTATCAGTGGGTTAAAATTTCCTATGATTAATCCATAACTTATTTATATAACATCATACAAGCTACTAAGTAAGATGAAAACCATCTGCTGAAATTCAACATCCTGATGTGGTCTGAATTTCACGTCCATGGCCGCCCACCTCCGACATGTAATCCACGATCTTCTTCATGCTCCACTCCTCATCGCGACCTCCCAGGACCAGTTCCCGGAAGAGATCGGGAGCGTTCGAGGCCTGCGAAAAAAAAGCCGTTGATGCAGTTGCAGCATGTTGCAGCTGGAATCAGATTTGGTTCTGCAGATTTTGGCAAAATTGGGAAGTGAACCATAGCTATTCGGTCCGAACTCTGTCCAACCTGACGTAGATCGAAACCAAGCCCTCCATCAACAACAGCTTCACAGAGGTGTGGGTACATCGTGGTCTCCTCCGTCCAATCCCGAAAGATCAACAACCTCTCAGCTTTCTTCGGGGTCACAACAAAAAAAAAACATCGCGAAAATCCCCTGACAACCTATACATGTACTTTTATAACTAAAAACATATGTATATTTCCATGATTTCCATGTATAATGTAGCTGGAATGCCATGCTACAACCATGCTTCGCATGCTTCGGGATGCCCCAAGATGCCACGATCTCCTCGGCAATGGTCTTGGCATTCGGCTCCAGTTGGTGAATCAAAGTGTTCGCTTGCATCAAGTACTGAATCCCCGCCTGGATTAGTTGGCGACCCGTGGATTAGTTGGGGATTTAACCCACAAAATGGTGGTATAATGGGGATATAATTGGCTCAAATAGGGGAAAATGTGCACCTACTGTGTCTGAAAATGAGGTATATCCCCGATATAGCTATGGCTGCAATCGAAAAAAAAAATCATGAACATGGGAGGGCATAATACTTTATTCAAAGAAAATACATCACCCAACGTTGACAGGCCACATAAAATGATACCCTCTGGTTATGACTAACAGTTTGCCATGGTATAGATGGCCCATAGAAATAGATGGCCTACCTTTACCTGGCTATAAAATGGGTGGATCTTTCCATATTTTCCATGGATTTCCATGGCATATCGACTCCAGCTTCTCCAACTTCCGTGGGCCTTTTCGGTGTTTTCATCCGTGGCCAGGTATTCCTCCAGCTCCGAGGGCTCGGGGACCCATCTTCCACGGTCCAAGTAGATCATGGAGGCCACGTCCAGGAACCTACCGGCGCTCCGTTCCTTTTTTAAGCAGGGAATGATGACAAACATTAGACAAACATGGAACAAACCATGGGATTTATGGGATTTATGGGATTTCGGGAGGTCCAACATTTGAGACCGAAAATGCGTGGCTGACAAAAATCCGTGCTGAAGCAGCTGGATCCCATGCCTGAAGCCATCCATGCCAAATTGATTCATCCAGAAGCCGATGCTGGCAAGAAGATATCGCTGCACCTGCAACGTCGAAGATCTTCGGGGAACAAGATGGAACAAGGTCACTGATACTCAAGGCTGCTTCTGCTGAAGTTCCCAGTCTGCACCACTGGTTTCAACTCAGCCCTACAATGTCAATTATGGAAACTCAAATCATATCTATCCAATCATCAACCAGCAGTAAGTACTATCCAATAAATCAATGGGAATTTCAGGATCCTAAAATGGAGGTACTGTACCATATAAGGCCATATACGGCCATAAACTGCTGAAGTAGTGGCCGCAGCTTTGCCTCATGCTCTGCAAAGTTGTAGAGCCTTGCCCCTGAGATGGGATGAAAGCCTTGCCTTGGAGCACCCCAGGAGGAACGCCAAATGTGAATGTGCATATCCATACATACACGTGCAAATATATATATATATATATTATATATGATATATCTATTACATATGTGTGTATTTCATCAATGTAAATAATTATATATATATGTACATTACTATTGCATTACTATTACATATGTATAGACTGTATAGATATATGTTGCTGTAGAATTACGGCCACGACTCGGCCAGGGAGCTCTCCCCACAGGAAGAATTGTCCTCCGAGTCCATCCTGGCGGCTTCCACGGGCCACGGGAAAGTCATGGGAAATTCATGGAAAAACATGGGGAAATTCCATCCAGGGAGGTTTTTTTGATGGAAAATCAACGAAAAAATGCTGGATTTCTCGTGCAATCCATGTTTCATTGCCGGAGTCCATGTTTCTGGCATGAACGGCTTGTGAAAAACCTTGGAGAATCATGAAATATTTTGATCATCGAGTCACTATTAGTGGTCCCATCGCGTTTGCCTCTGCCGAAGCAGCACCATGGTGAGGCAGGTCCATGTAAACCTTGGGACTTGGCCGCTCGGTTGGCTCAGCATTCGTGAAAAATGTGAAAAGGAAAGCGATGAAAAAAACACCTGGAAGTCCCCTCATCCGAAGCAATAACTTGGACCAGCGAATCTCCAAATTGAACCAACAAGAAGTTCGGAAAAGAAGAAAAACTCGTGAAACAAGGTACAAGTCCCTTCCAGCCACTTAGGAAACCCATTCGAAAAACTCTGAATGACAAAATTGATCCCTTCGTATCCTGAGGACTTCACTTGCAGACCCAGGCTGTGTGCCTGGGCCATGGCCATGTTTAAAGAGATGCCATAGTTGAATCTTCGACGTGAATATTCTGATAGCATGTCTGTGTGAATGTGTATATATTTATATACGTATACGTATATATTATATATATATAGATATATTTCATACATCTGGGTAAATTAAAATATTTCACTAACCTGCAATAAGGTTATTTTGGGATCATTCCCCTTATTGACTATGATTCCAGTGAGGTCGCAGTGAGGTCGTTATAATTTAACCAGATATATATATATATATACATATATATATATACATGCATTCACTCACACTATTTACTATATGACTATATGATATGTATGCATAGCATTTTTTTTACATCACACATCTGTAGCACCCAGAGGTCATCCTGCCTGTGTCACCAGATTTCTCAGCTCCTGGGCTCGCATTGCTGCATGGAAAATACGTCATGGGCTCGTTCAACGGCTGTAAACAGTGTGTTAAAAAAAAAAAACATGAAATGGCCATGAAAGAACAGGGACTATGATGCTTTCGCCCTGCGATTTCGCCATCCCAAACGTTTGTGGTACCCGTGGGTACCTCTAGGGTACCCCAGACAGCTGTCCGACTCCCATGGGATGTCCTCGGTGGTGCCCAGGTGTTGCGAAAGAGCAAAGAGGCTCACCGGTTGGCTGCCCATCGTGGCCTGGTCCTGCCACCAGTCCAACTGGGGATGGTGTCAACATAGCAGCTAGAGCACCCATAAAATGATGATAACATTGCCATAATAATAGTAATAGCAACAATAATAGTAATAATAGTAATAATAGTAATAAGAATGATAATAATAACAGTAATACTAATAATATCTAATAATCATAACACTAATAATGACAACAGCAATTGTGATGGTGATGGTGATGATGATGATGATGATGACGATGACGACGATGACTTGGGGATGGTAAACATGGCATTGGGTTTACAAGCATTACTGAGAATAGTACCATCCTGAAAAAAAAAACTGGGATTGCGGAAAACACGGAAGAAGCGAAATTAAAGAACGTTTTTTGAAGAAAGTCTGGGATATCAGGCATGCACTCCTTCCATGGTTCAAAATTCAAACCTCAATGTGCAGAATCTCAATTGCCATAAACTGGAGGAAATCCTTCATTTTGAGACACACGCACCATGTCCATCCATTTCCTGCATTTTCTATGTTGCTATAGTATCATATAGTATCCACATTCCATTCCTCTTACCTGCAAATGGCTTTGTCTGAAAATCGGCCCAACATCGGTAAATCATCCTTTTCCCCATGAAAAATGTGCCATAACTTGGGGGTCCTTTTTCGTAGGTCCATTAACTCCTGACAAAAACGACCCATGAGATCAATGAGATCCCATGAAATTCGACACCATCAAAAACACCGCGAAATCCCATGTGTTCTAAGCCAGGCAAAGCCAGGCATTGGGCCCTGCTCCTTGGTTTCCAACAGGCCCATCAGCAGCAGGGCACTGTAGCCGTTTCGTGCGATCCGTGGCAGCAAGTCCAAGGTCCTAAGAGGTGCACGGCTGGAGATTTCCATATGGAATTGTCCAATAGAAATCGACCGGAAATGATGGGATCTGATGGTCTGATGGGTGTGTTACTGATGGGTGTGTTACATATGAAATCCAGGCTTATGACTTGATGATGTGGCTTATGGCTTATGATTTTTGTGAGAGGGAAAAAAATGTTTTGTTTGAAAACAAAAAACATTTGGGGTGAAACCAAGTCTGGGAAATTGAGACTACAAGGGGAGAACAAGTTTGCGAACGGTACCCGGTACTCCAACTTGTTTTCACAAAATCTGAAATACTAACTTACTAACACTTTCAAAGTGTTCTGTTCCAAGAAATCAGGAAAGTGTCAAGATATCATCCAGCACATCTTCACCCGCCAACAAACACAACCTGGACACGGCGGGTTTCACCCAGGGCTGAGATCCCTGGCTCCACCAAAGGTGAGGTGGTGCTATCCTTGCTGACAAGCCCGGGATGGCACTCATAGATGCGGATGCCACCTGTGCGTTCGCCCCCCACCGGGATATCCCGGGATTCATCTGGTGGTTTTGACTCAAAACAGTCTCAAAACTTAACTGTTGACTGTCATGTTTCTATGATGTGAGGTGTAGAAGTGTCTGACCGTTGAAGTTGTTTTTCTGCGGGGTGTCCTGTTTCTGTAGTTTGTGTTCCGTGAGGTGAGAAAGCGTTGATGTTGATTTGTATGCAAAGGTTTGAGGTCATACATAATAGGTCGTTGGTCAGATATTGTGAAGCATTCTCATGCCTTCCTATTCCATGCCTGTAGCATGATATTGTGATGATCACAATCATGCAAGGCTTCCTGAAGTAGAGTTGGGTATTTGGGGATTTTCGGATGGATTTTCAGCACCAAACCTTGGATCCTCTATGTACTACGCTTCCCCTGTCGCCATCTCTGGATTTTTTCGTGGCTTTGTTGGGCTCAGGCGGCTCAGGAGTCATCCCTTCTTCCAGTTCAACCGACGAAGAGGTCTTGGTTCTGGAATCACAAAGATTTTCCCCACGGATTCCGGGAAGTATTTTCCCATGATTCGTCTCACACAAACTTAAATGTCCCACCCATATGATTGCGGTGAAAAAAAAAGTTCCATGGATTAAATAGATTGAATCCCAAAATCCCATTCCTGATTCCACAAACCAAAATCCCGAAAAAAAAAACAATCCCAATTTGGATGATTCCCCAATATTTAAAAAAAAAAACATATAAAATCCCCATGGTTTTTCCAAAATTGGGATTTTCCAAATGGTTTTCCCATATTATAATAACCATATTATCATAGATTTTCCCAAACTCCCAATGATTTTCCCATGGATTCTCCCAGTCGCGCCTTGCTTCATCTCCTCCGTCAGCTCGAGTCGTCCCGGTCCAGCCGCACCGTCGAGCACGTGCACCACGGCATCCAGGAGCCTGGGCTGGGGGATGCCCTGGAAATGGATGGTTTTCATGGAAATCCCATGGAAAATCCTATTGCTTTCTATGGATTTTACTGGATTTTACTGGATGTTTATGGGTTTTTATGGATTTTTATGGATGTTTATTGACTTTAATTGATTTTTCATGGATGGTTTGGGGGTATCTATCCCCGTGACTGGGAAACCTCCACATGGCAGGAATGTGAATGGAAATGACTTCTCGTGTTCAGCAGTTCGTGAATGTGGTTGAACTCGTTGGGTGTTGCATGTCTTTTTAACCAGTTCATGGTGGTTGAACACGGCAGCTGACACTTCATGATAAGCAGTCAAAGCATGTTAAAAACACCAGCTCATGACAATTCATGGATGCTTACAACGACAATTCATGGCTAATAGTGGATGCAAATCAAAAAATGCGTGCAAGCCGCGTCATGGTCAGGGTCCCAAGGTCCCTATCCTCTTTGAAGTATTGACAATCCAACTTTGAGGAAAAATTGAATTTATATGGCTTTGTCTGAAAATAGAGTAGAGAACCCCTTAATAGAGTACCCCTGAATTCTCTCATTCATCTCAGGGCGCAGGGTATGAAAATTGCCTTAAATTCAGATGTCCATCCCTTATTTTCAGACACACTCAGATTCTTGAGTACACATACCATTCTTTCGGATTAGATTCCTGATATTCCCGAGTATATTCCCATCCTGTATCCCACTATATATATTTCCATTATATATATACTACAGATTGTCACTTTCAGACACCTCTCTGACCATCCAAACCGATGAATATTACCAACCATCAGTTTGTTGACTAATGATCAACCATTCAACTAGTTCAGTTCGTTGACTTTAAAATATACCAAGCTCTTTGACCCTGGTTTATCATGTTGCCTCTTAAAATGTCCGTCTTTGGGGCAGATGCCCATTTTCAAACACAAACATCATCTTGCTGGTATATATCGCAGTGCCGTTAAAAAAGGAAAAAAAACATGGTTTCCAATGAGGATGAAAGTCAGTGCATCAATGATCAGTTTGTTGACTCTAACATCTACCAACTATCAGTTACCCTGGGGTAAACTCAGATGTGGAAAAGCCATCGAAAAATCCCACACAAATTCCCCTGGAAATCCCATCTCTTCCCAGTTTACCCTAGGGCGACATCAAAAAGCCATGCCCAGCGCTGTCCTCGACTCCAAGTCACTTCATCTCGTTGGGTCCAATGAAGCGTGTGGCCCATGCGGGCATGGCATAGTAAGGGTCTCCCTCCTGGATGATCCAGGAGAAACCCTCCGATTTCCTATGCCATGGAAGTCTTTGAAACACCATATCCTGATCATCTCAGCACACTCTCAGACTCTCAGCACACTTCAAGGCTTGCTACTGTACACTCAAAAAAGTGGGGAACAACCAAAACGCATCTGCAAAACTATATGGGGCTGTCCATAAATGTGGTTCCCCCTCAATGGATGGTTTATAAGGAAAATCCCACTAAAATTGATGATTTGGGGGTACACCTATTTTAGAAAATCCCCATATCTGTATCTGCAAATCCTGGCTAATCCAGGCAGCCAAACAAAAAAATCTGGGTTTTGTCCTCATTGATACCACCATATATGCAAAGACACATGTAAGCTTCACCTTGTCAAGAAGCTGGCCCCTGCCCTAGAAATGCCCACCGGTTCTCCTCCGGAACGACAAAGAGCTTGTACTTGGAGCCGCTCTTGAGATTTGTGGTGGCCGGCAGGGTCGCGCTCCAAACATCCGGGAAGGAATCCGGAGACTCCTGGAGAAGTCCATAGGGGAATTATCATCCTACTAAGGATGAACAAACAAATTTTTGGTTACCAATTTTGGTTTGAAGCCACGGTCGAGGGCTTCATTTTTTCCTCTTCCCTGCCTGCGTCAGGGGTGTTGCAGAGGTGACCCAGTCATTGAAGTCTCCTACCAGGTAGACTTCCTTGGCATAGGGCATCCATTCGCAATAGGTCCATGTCGCGCCATTCTTCTGCAGCCCGAAGCTCTTGTAGCTCTCGGAGATCTGGGCTAAGTCACCACCACAGGCCGCCAAGTTCTCTTGAAAATTGGCCATACGCATCTTCGTTTGTTCCACCTGTAGCAGCTCCACACAGATTGTTGTCTGAAAAAATAGCTAACTCCACTGGTTGATCATTGTCCCACTCAAAGCGGCTAGTAAAATGGCACTTTAGGGTGGATACCCGGACTTTTAGGCTCGATTTTCAGAGACCAGTTGGACTTTGAAAGTGCCCCCGGATGACCCCCACCCTCAAGCACCTCGGAAACCTCATGCGTCTGCGTGTCTCTTAAAGCTTGATCAAGATCATCAGTGTTCATGAAGTGCAACCCTGAGTAGCATCTCGTCATGTCACGCACATCGACGCCAGCTTCCTGCAAGAACTTCTGCATGGTGTGAACCAGGTGGTTTTTTGGTGGATGCATCAGCCAAAGTTTCAAAACTAGAGGCAGGAATCCTCAAAAATGTGAAGCAAAACCAAAAAAAACAAGTAGTTCAGTAGTTCCTCCCAGTTCCTCCCATCCCTTTCCCAAAAAATGATGGGACTTGGGACACTTCCCCTCCTCAGGTTTGGCTTCTTCCTTCACCTCCACCGTTCCCGGTGCCGGCGCCGCCACGGGGGACCCCACCGGCGAAGCCACAGGGGGCGAGACCACCACCGGCGCTGGCTCCGCCTGGGGCTCCGGCTCCATGGCTGGCTGCACGGGCTTCGAGTAGCCCTTGGCAGCTGCCTCCGGGCAGAACTCGGGTGTTTTGATGGTTTTTGTTGAAGTGATTTACCCTCTGGTAATTTAACATAGCTATTGAAAATGGCCAGTTATAGTGGATTTTCCCATTAAAAATGGTGAATTTCCATTGCTATGTTTGTTTACCAGAGGGTAGGACATTTCGGGATGATGACGAAGGTAGAACTCGGTTCCTATTCAAATCTGTAAAATGGAAAAGATGATTTAGGAAAAAGGTCAACAACGGTTCTATCTTTTTGGGGGGAATAATCATATCTACATTGTCCTCCGTATATACCCACTTCAATATTATTGTAAGATATGGAGGTTCATTGTGGTTATATGATGAGGTTAAGAGGTTTGTGGGTTTGTCACAGGACCAAATGCTGGTGTTTTGTAGTGGGGTGTATGGCCCTTCCTTCCCAGAATGCTGGGATATCTTATGTTATGCAATGTAAATAGATATATATATATACCATGGGTTGTAACAATATATATATATACGAGGGTTAGTTGGGGTTCATAGTTCGCGGGGTTCAATGTCTGAAGTCTGGTGCATACACCCATGCACTTAAGGGGAAATAGGAGGATGGTGGTGTACTCCCCATTTTTGGACAAAGCCATTCGTGGGTTTGTTACGTGGGTCGAACATAGACCCTAAACAAGGACAGAAATTACCCTCTGGTCATTTAACATAGCTATAGAAAATCACCATCTTTAATAGGTAAGCCATCTGTAAGCCATCTATAAATGGGCCATTTTCCATAGCTTTTTGTATATATGTTTACCAGAGGGGAACCTGAAACGTCCTCCACCCCAGCGCAGCCCACCTTAGGCAGCTTGGGTTTCTTCGGGCTGGGGGGAGCATCGTCCGGCTTGCCATTCCTCAGATAGCCCAAGAGGGCAATGGTGTATTCTCCTGGGAAGTAGATTCGGAACTTGGTGTCCTGGCAGCAAAAAGGCCAACTGCTTGGGGTGGCAATCGGAAGTGGGTAAGAACCTAATCTGAAATACCCTAGTTCTATGTGGAAGATCCATGAATATCCCGAGTTACGCATATGATATATGTATACATGGCTCATGAACATCTATAAACATCTATAAACCACTGACTAACTGGGATACTCTTCCAAGATATTCAGTGCTTTTTCAAGAGCATCCAAAAAGCTCACGTCAGATCAGCCGCAGCCGTCCTTGGAGCACTTGCAGGGCAGGATCATGTCATCCCCCGTGACGATATCAAAGGTGGCATCCCAATGGTCTGGGAGGTGCACCAAGCCATTCTCGAAGGGGAAGTCCAGCATTTCCTCCAGGCCATCCTTGTGAACGACCAGAGAAAGCTTCATGCCCTCTGTGTTCTTGACGTCATACTGCGACAAGAAGCTATTCTCCACCTTGGCGAAGTAACGACGATGATAAAAGGCTTATCAATCATCAGTTGTCCAATCAAAATAGATCAAAATGACCAGAACTTGAAGATCCTTGAAGAATGCCAGTATCCCTCCATTTCTTTCCAACCCCAAGCCATGGTGAGCCCAAGCTCTCTCCCAATATCTCCCAGGTCTGCAGGTCTGAGGATCCCCACATAGACCTTGATACCGCCTTGCAGTAGGCTCTCCCTGCGCAGGATCGCACCAGATCGAACATCCCACTGGGCTTGTGGCTGAGAACATGTCTTAACATGCCAAAAAATAACCACCTATATTATATATATATATATATACATTATAATTATATATATATTCCATTTATAAGTGATAACGTGTTATAACATGTTATAACATGTTACAACATGTTATAACATGTTATAACATGTTATAACATGTTACAACATGTGATAACATGTTATAACCCCACTTATATACCAGTTTTGATCCGTGGGCTGATCCTCCAAGTGGGCTGTTGACTGAGTCGCTCTTTGCTGCCTGCAGAGAACTTGCGCAGTACGCGAAGGCATGTAGAGCCTGGCTGGGACCCCAATCTGCTCGGATGGGACAGGGGACGTGATCAGCAAAAATTGGATGGATATCAGCAGGAAAAATCTGGGCGTTCACCAACAAAAAATGTGGTTGGTGGTATACCTACCATCCTGGTTGGTTAATATACCTGGTTAATAATGGTTAATATAAATGGTTATCTGTGGTTAATGATGGTTAATAATATCTGGTTGGTGGTTTCAACTTCTCTGGAAAATGTTGGACTTCGTCAGTTGGGATGATTGTTCATGGAAAAATCATCCAGCCATGTTCCAGTCACCAGCAATCAGATCACCATAATATTCCCATGGTTGTTGGTTTATAGCCTATGAAAACCACTATTAACCATCACAGAATCCAGCCATGTTCCCACCAATATTTGGATGATTTTCTCCATAGCTCCAGGTCTTGTCTTTCCAACTCTTTGCTGGTCAAGATTCATCTGCTGTTTAGCTGCTAAAACCATCCAACTATACCCAACGACTAAAACGTTTCAAAATGGTGTTGGGACCATTTTTGTGTTGCCAGCAATAGTTCTTACGAGATTTTCGCATCGAAAATCCTCCAGTTGTTGAAGATCCTATCCCATTCCTATCCCATTAGAGTCATCCCATGGCTGCCATGGTCGTCACCAAGACACTTCACGGAGTGAGGGCGTTTGTCAATGCCGTGCAGCGGAGGGAAAGGGTTGCCATGACCATAATCCAAACCTCGAATGGCTGGCACCAGCGGGTCGCTGATCATTGAGAAAACAAAAGGTTTTGTACCCACAAAAGGCAAATTATTTTGATCTAAAACAGCCTACAACCATTCATTTTGGTCGTGAAACTATATTTTGACTCAAAAAAGACAATGACGATGAAACCCAAAACGACAAATTACACCTTTTTACCGCCATTTCTTATCATCTCCAATACCGCCGTTTCTGTCCGTTTCTTAGTAATGAGCCCCATTTACCCAAAATTTTCCCGTTCTTTCCGGGAACAAAAAAACTTTGAACCACATCTAAAAATCTTAAAAAAAGAAAAAAAAAAAAAAACATCCCCACCCCACCACAATGTTTTTCCTGTACTTGGCCACATTCCCACTGAGGCCTCCTACGCATGTGACCTCCGAAACGGCCTTCATCCGTGTCCAGGACGCAGCGCATGGGCTCGTCCTAGACTCGGAAGAAAACTGGGAGTTTCAACACATTGTCATTTTGTATGTCCAATTTTTCACACATACATACCACATACCCATCAGATACTCCCATACCCCATCCTGTACACATCCTATATCCAGATCCCTGCAAAAACTGTGGTTTGGATAGAAGCTGCGCGAAGACAATGAGGCTCCCAACGCAATGCGTGCCAATCTGATATCCCTCGTAGCTGTTGCAAGGATGAAAGTTGAAGGCCTTAGCCACGGCCAGTCCCCCTGCTGACCATGCCATCTCTAAACCAAGTAATGTAGGCAATGCAGTCCAGTGACGAAGACCAAGTCGCCACGTTCGAAGATGATGACCTCAATACCACCCCCTCAACGAGCCATAATCCCAGCAAAATCCAGCAAGATCCAGCAGAATGAGCTGGAACAACCACAAGCTTTCTACAGCGCTGCAGCGGTCCAACCTTGTCATTCTCATCCTTCTTGCTGACATATTGATGCTGGGCGCTCACGAACTTGAAGCGATTCTCACATGCCTGCGCGTTTGGGCAGTCAGTGTCATGTTCCAGCCATGGCATCTACGGCTCGCCATGGATTGTAACCAACAAGGACAAGCCAATCCCATCCCCTTAATTTTAAAACACCCCCTTTCTATGGTTCCACTTATGTCTTTGTCCCCTACATTCCACTATGGTTTCGGGATGTTTCGGGAGGATGTTGAATATAAGGGCAAGGATTCCCTGAACACCAAGATCCATGGCTTTTCACCCACGCTGAAAAAGTGGATGGTGCCAACCTGCATCAGTTCATCAAAGGCTTGAAAGAATTTGTAGCGCAGCAAATCATCTTCTGGCAAATCCCAACCTCAGAAAACACGGCTGATCAGCTGGTTACGATGTGATATTGGTGGAATAATCCCTTCAAAATAAATATCTTCATGTGTGTTTCAAGCATTGTGGGCTATTATATGGTTGTTTTCATATAAAGTAGTATTCCTATAATATACATATATATATATATTTGTTATCAAACCTGGTCAATGATGATCAACGATAGTCCATAACTACGATTGGGTCAGGCCCCCAATCCCATACCCCTTTTTTGACACCTCCATACCATGGTCCCTGAAAAAAAAGTGGTTTCATCCCCTACATCCACCATGGTTTCATCCCGGAGTTTCCGTAGCAAGCTACGACGTCTGCAGTGATGGTGACTCCAGCCATTCTCCGGGCGCGGGAAGTCGATCCACTCGGGGTGTCCAAACTCGTTGCCCATGAAGTTCAGATAGCCCTGGTCTTTGGCTTTTGGGGGTGCCTGGAAAGAGGAAAAAAACCTGGAAAAAATGTGGAAAAATATGGATGTGTCTTAAAAGAGCGGATCCCCAAAACCATTGATTTATTATGGTTCAATCAAATATGTTGAAATTTGAATGATTTGGGGGGATCCTTGATTTTAGGAAACCTCTATATGGGGAAATTCAGGTACAAAAAAATTAACTGCTTGGGATTCAGCGTGCCTCGCCGCCTAGGGAAAGGACAATCAAACGGATCATCTTGTGAAGCCTCCAGGATGCACCGACTGGATGTTTGGGAACCCACGAGCGGATCAGCTTGGTGAAAAGTGGCGGATTTTTCTGCTTTCAAAAGTGTTTTGTTTCGAAAAAAAAAACATTCAACAAATACACGTGACAGATCTTACGGCTCATTCTCCCATTCTTCCTTTGTCAAAGGCCTGGCCCAGCAATCCAACGACACTGAGGCCAGAACGCCAGGCCCCGATCCACACACATGGAGGGGAAGGGACTGGTGAAGACACTCATGCCCGTGTACCTGGCCAAACGTTGGTGCTAAAAGCCGCCCCCAAGACACCGGAAGCTGAGTCAGGGTCACATTTCGGCATCCATCAGCCAAAAGGCCAGGGTCTTGTCACCCACAATGGCCTAAAGCACCAGATCCATGGCATGAAGAAATGATGAAAGCGCAAGGATTGGAGCCTTATGATGAGAGGCCACACGTTCTGTGTTCCTAATCACTCCCAAAAAAAAAGTAGTCTTTTCAGTCACAAAGCTTTCAATCCCCCCCCAAAAAAATGTAGTTTTCTGAACATTGGTCTCATGGTCATCAACATCCCGCAGACCTTTGGATTCATGGCGACCTTTTCACGCCGCTGGATCACACCTCGCCTGATCATGAGACTCGGCGTAGGCAATCACCTGGGGATGTCGACATCTCACCACCGATTGCAACCAGAAAAAAGGATGCAATTCCTAAGAAATTGCTCTTTCACAAAACAATCCATGGGTGTGAATACATAATATAACATAAAATAACATGACAAAACATTGCATTACATTACATTACATACACAATCATAGATACATGGTCAAAAATGTTGAATGTGTGTGTGTGTGTGTAACATGTAAGCAATACAGTATTGCCTTCCCACAAATTAACATAGACCCTGCCATGAGGCAGGGTTTGAAGCTTGGTTTCGACTAACAATTGGCTATAATAACAGTCTATGTTGATACTATATACAATATCATATGCTAAATTATATATATATATATGGAGGTTTCCTGAAATAGGGGTACCCCCAAATCATCCATTTATAGATGGATTGTCCATTATAAACCATCCATATTTGGGATATACCCCATTTATGGAAACCCCCATAATATACATATATATGTGTGTGTAATCCGGGCCTTCTCCATGTAGCGTCGGTTCGTCAAGGTGTGCACCAGGTGCCCCATGCCCCAACCATCGTCAGTCGACTGGCAGCGTCTCGCTGGAAGTGGGAGAAATGGCCATTATATCCATGAGAAATGGATGGTTTATAATGGAAAATCCATCTATAAAATGGATGATAAAAGGGGTACCGCCATGACTTAGGAACCCCCTTTTTTTGTAGCCACATATGAGATTTGATAGGGTTTATGGATGTTTACACGGTTTAATTGATGGTAATTCCGACTTTTCGGTTCAATTCTTCTCTTGAAATTTGCGGACCCAAGCTGGTGGACAGCAACCGCGGATGCGCCTCCTTCAGATACCTCAGTTTCGGCGAGCCCAAAATGGTAACGGATCACCTATAAAATTGGTGATTGATAGCCAACGATACTGATGATATTGATTATTGCAACAACAACAACAACAACAACAACAACAAACAACAACAACAACAACAACAACAACAACAAACAACAACAACAAACAACAACAACAAACAACAACAACAAACAACAACAACAAACAACAACAACAAACAACAACAACAACAAGGGAACACCGCCTTGAGGCGGGTGTGGGTTTTCTACAATTGTGCACTTGGTGATTGAATCAAAAATCACCTTTTTACACTGTAATTTACAATATTTTATGGTTGTGATCTATGATGTTTTGACGTTTGCTGCAAGAGGTCAAAATGCCAAAAAAAACTTTCGCAATTCCGCAACATCTGCTTGAGGTTCAATGCATTCTTTTTTTCCTCAGTGCTCTTTCAGTCGGCATTCTTCGTTTTGAAGAGCTTGCCCAAAGTCTGGATGTATTGATGCTGGTGTGCAAATCTAAATTGCCATGATCTCACATAGATCAGTAGCTTTTTATTGAGGCGTCATCTTTACGGTCGAAAGGAACGTTATCATCCCCCCCCCCAAAACCCCCCCTCCCGGTCAAGGTAGCAAGACGTCAGCAACAAAGTTGGGCAACGTGTCTTCGGTAGCGTCATCTTACAGTCGAAAGGAACGTTATCATCCCCCCCCACCCCCCCTCCCGGTCAAGGTAGCAAGACGTCAGCAACAAAGTTGGGCAACGTGTCTTCGGTAGCGTCATCTTACAGTCGGCAAGAGCGTTAAACACGTATACTGCCAAAGAGCACAAACGTGGAAAAAACCACGCCCGCCTCGGGGCGTTGACCCCAACAACAACAACAGCAGCACCAACAGCAACAGCAACAGCAACAACAACAACAACAACAACACACCAACAGCAACAGCAACAACAACAACAACAATAGTAATAGTAATGCTAATAATACTTGTAAATAATAATAACACTAATAATGACAACAGCAATTGTGATGATGATTATGCTGATCATCATCATCATCATCATCATAATCATCATCATCACCATCATCATTATCCATCATCCATCATTAACCATCATTACCCATCATTAACAATCATTAATCACTATTAGCCATCACCATAATAATAATAATAGTAATAGTAGTGATAATGATCATGACAATGAGCATTGCCACTGTGGTTCTTGGTGATTCAGATTCGCTGCCCAAAGTCCAAGGCACTTGATGAACATGTCAGGGATCGCCATTGCCAAACGATAGTCGAAGCCTCAATGAATCATTCGGAAAAAACTCATGGAAAAAACCACGGTTTTAGGCCATGAAAAAAATAAAATGGAAAACCAAATTCCAATGCTGATCTAAACAAAATGCGTTGATCTTTCCAATAACACAAAATGGCAATAACTTGGGGTTGATCCTCCGTTTCACCGGACACCCAAATTTCATTCACCGGTCTGGCCCAACTCGATTTTGCAAAATGTTCCATCCAACTGGGTCAGAATCAGTTCATGGAGATCAAATTCCCCACAGATCAACCATTCAACCTACCATTTTTTGTCATATGGGTTTCTCTGAAAATAGCTCCAAAATCCAGTGGTCAACCATCATTTTCCCAATTTCTTGATCGCGGGCAGTTCAGGCCCCTGCCAAAGCCACCCCACTCCACTGGCAAACACAAGGTGGGCATGCCGCTCACATCCTGCGAAAATCGCTGCATGGGATTGACGGATGATTTATGGATGATCTCCCTATCGAAAAATGATGATATCATGCTTTGACCTATAGGCTTTGACCAAAAAAAACCGGATCCTTTCCAGGGAAAACGATGATAAACGATGGGTGTTCCATATCTTTGTTACAATTTTGTTACTGTGTGTTGGTCATGGTGAAAAACCCCAGAAAAGCATCGAACTTCCGGAGGCCTGTCCTCGCCAACTGTGACTGCAGAGGGCACCACGCGGTGAATCAAGTCGTTCGCCAGCATCAAATAAATGTGACCTAGCAGTACCAAGCCATGACCCAGGCCTTTACCCAGGCCTGACCCCACCATTCCCATGGTCGCTGTAGGTCCTTTTTGGTCGTGACTCGTGACACCAACTCAGGGCCCCTGCTGTCAATGTCTGCGTCTGGTCCGAAGTATTCGTGAAAGCCACCGGTGTAGCCCTTGCCAATGCCGTGGGATTGGTACCTGGGCCGATCAAGAGACTCCCGTAGCTTACTGTGTGGGTATTGAATTGCCGTCGAGGTACAGCATGGAGGTGACACCATCAAATCGGAAGCCGTCAAACTGGTACTCCTCAGGTGTTTCGCTGCGTCTTGTGTGCTTTGCCACCTCACACTCTGAAAGAGGAACTAAATGGCGTATGTTTGTATCTTTTACACATACTATAGAAATATATTTTATCTTATGATAACATATGGACAGTCAAGAACAAACTTTCAAATTTAATCCTTCAACCTGCTGGTGTAACATGCAACTGATCAGTTGACCCTCCTCAAGCCACCACTTGACGTTGGAGAGCAGGAAGCGAAGCACCTTCACTGTTCTCAACTACAGGGCGAAACCAGCGCTTTGCGCGAACTTGTGGCGGGCGCAGCGGCGCAGCCTGCCTCGTACTTGAGGTAGTTGAAGATCTTGGAGTCCCAGTCAGAATGATGTCCCTGAGCAAAGACATCTTGCCACCGCCACCAGACCCTCATTTCATGGAGAATTTCTTGGAAAACCGAGAACCAGCTGACGAGCAAATCCTTGCCTTCAGGCCGCCATGCGTGTAGCAGTGATCGGTCCCATCCATCCTGGGACCATTGGCTCATCGCCAGGCATTGAAAATTCTATAGGCTTCACCCCCATATCTTTTAGGGGTCATTGGGTCAGGGGGGAATTCCCACAGGAAACCAATAAATCCTGGCCACACGTACAACATGCTACTTGCCCCATCTAGAAAACTGTCAATTCGGCTGTCCTGAATTACACGATCAAAAAAGATGCAGTTGATATGCAGTGGTGTTTAAGTTTCTAAACATGTT